AGGGGCCCCAACATTTCTGATGGCAGCCCTGCCGCTGGTGTGTTCGTATGGAAAGATGGCCGCCGCCACGTGTTCGTATGCCGAACGGCGCCCACCCAGGGAATACATAGTGTGTTCGGGTAATTGTCAATTGAGGTAAGGGAATAACGATGGGGAAGGTTAATTAGTGCCACGCTCCTCTCTGGGGTGGCCTGGCTGTTGGGTAGTTTGTTCGTTTGTCAAATGGCACAACTTCAGATGGTTAAAACTAAAATTCTTACCAAACAACCAGATGATTGACACAGCAGATAGAGGGTTACCTGGTTCTTTCTCAGTGTACTGAACCGTGGCGGATGGAATAAAATACTTTAACAATTAGGGATAGGGACAACCAACAATAAAATACGAAGTAATAACACACAGTCTGCTACATACATTAACAACTGCAGGGTGTACCCCAAGATCCACAGGGGCACCACAACAACTGCATGTGTACCCTAACATCAGCAGGGGCACCAAAACAACTGCAGGGTGTACCCCAACAACTGCATGTGTACACCTACATCAGCAGAGATCTCTCATCTTTCTTCTTCCCCTTACAATACTTCCCCTAACCTCACTCCCTCTGGTGTTCGATGTTCATTCGAATCTGCTACAGCGGAAGAGGTTTCTGCTCTGCTCCAGTCCTCCCGCCCCACCACCTGCTCACTAGATCCAATTCCCTCGCATCTCATGCATACTCTTCTTCTCTTTCTCCACCTCACTAAAATTCTCAATCTCTCTCTCTCCTCTGGCATATTTCCATCGCCCTTCAAACATGCAACTATAACCCCAATTCTAAAGAAGCCCAACCTTGACCCTAACTCCCCATTCAAATACCGTCCTATCTCGTTACTGCCTTTTGCATCTAAGATCCTTATAAGAGTTGTGTATGCGAGATTGACAGACTTCCTCTAGTCCAACTCTCTGCTAGACCCGCTTCAGTCTGGATTCTGCGCTAAGCACTCTGTGGAAATGGCACTGACCAAAGTATCCAATGATCTACTCACTGCAAAATCTCATGGTCACTACTCTATCCTAATTATCCTTGACCTCTCTGCGGCGTTTGACACCGTTGATCATGAACAGCTTCTTCGCTTTCTCCGCAATATCGGCCTATAAGATATTGCTCTCTCTTGGTGCTTCTCCTACCTCTCCCAGCGCTCTTTCAGTGTTTCTTTCTCTGGCTCTGCTTCTTCTCCCCAACTCTTCTCTGTTGGTGTCCCCCAAGATTCAGTCCTTGGTCCTCTACTGTTCTCCATCTGTACTGCCTCCTTTGGTAAACTCATTAGCTCCTTTGGCTTCCAATATCATTTCTATGCATATGACACGCAAATCTATCTGTCCTCTCCTGATCTCTAACCATCCCTCTTGACTAGTGTCTGACTGCCTCTCTGTGATTTCTAACTGGATGACTGCCCACTTCCTTAAACTCAACTTGACCAAAACTGAAATTCTGGTATTTCTTCCCTTAAGTGTTGCTACTCCTGTGTCTGTCTCCCTCCAAGTCAACGGTGCTAGCATCAGGCTTGCTGCCTAGGTGTTCTCTTTGTTTCCGACCTCTTCTTTATGCCTCATGCTCAGTCTATCGCCAAATCCTGCCGCTTCCATCTCAAAAACATTGCACGCACCAGACCCTACTTAACGACAGATACGACTAAGGTGCCGGTCCATTCCACTGTCCTTTCTCGCCTTGACTAACGTAATCCACTTTTCAGTGGTTTTAAGTGCTCCCAACTTGCACAGTTAGAGTCCATAATGAATGAGGTGGCGAAGCTCATCTTCCTGTCCGCCCGCACCTCCCACGCCTCACCCTTCTGTCATTGGCTTACCCTTAGGGATCATTTATCGGCAACTCTTACTTGCAAGGTTTGGTCTCTCTGAACTCCTACCTGTAAGGTTTAGTTACCAGGATCTCTTACTCTTAAGGATTGCTAACTTGGTTCTCTTACCTGCAGGGATCAATATCTGGGATATCTTACCCTTATGGATCAGTTACCAAAATCTCTTACTAGTAGGGTTTGGTTACTAAGATCTTTTTTCTGTAAGAATCCGTTGCCTAGATAAGTTACCCATATAAACTGATAAATATGTCAGAACCTGATATGCGGGACAATTACCCATAGGGATAGGTTACCTGGATCAGTTAAAGGACCACTATAGTGCCATGAAAACAAACTAATTTTCCTGGCACTATAGGGTTATTAGGTCCCCCCCACCTTCATGGCCCCCCTCCCGCTGGGCTGAAGGAGTTAAAACCCATTCAGCCACTTACCTTACCGTGCGCATTCAAACAGCCCCTAGGAAAGCATTACCCAATGCTTTCCTATGGACGTCAGCGTCTTTTCACTGTGATTTTCACAGTGAGACTCGTGGAAGCGCCTCTAGCGGCTGTCAGTGAGACAGCCACTAGAGGCTGGATTAACCCTCAGTGTAAACATAGCAGTTTCTATGAAATTGCTATGTTTTCAGCTGCAGGGTTAAAACTAGAGGGACCTGGCACCAAGACCACTTCATTGAGCTGAAGTGGTCTGGGTGCCTATAGTGGTCCTTTAACTGTAGGGATGGATAACCTCAATCATCTACCGAGATTGGTTACTTGGTGTGACGGTAGCCGCTATCATTGTGGACAGAAGACAGATACTTTATGTAGGTCTCAGATTACTCTTCTGTTTTAGTCACTCTGTGTACATTATGGGGAGTGTATAGTGTATTTGTTGTTAGTTATTTTCTTCTTCTTTCTCCTGTCTTGTTTTTCCAGCAGGGCGTTGTTACATTGTTACAGGGACACGTCCAGACCAGTTCAAAGCGCTTGCCATACCACTCCTTTAAAACTCCCATTGGTGTCCCTCTGCCCTTATTATAATCTGTCCCCACCCTTGCTTGTAAATTAAAGGAACACTATAGTCACCTAAATTACTTTAGCTAAATAAAGCAGTTTTAGTGTATAGATCATTCCCCTGCAATTTCACTGCTCAATTCACTGTCATTTAGGAGTTAAATTGCTTCGTTTCTGTTTATGCAGCCCTAGCCACACCTTCCCTGGCTATGATTGACAGAGCCTGCATGAAAAAAAAATACTGGTTTCACTTTCAAACAGATGTAATTTACCTTAAATAATTGTATCTCAATCTCTAAATCGAACTTTAATCACATACAGGAGGCTCTTGCAGGGTCTAGCAAGCTATTAAAGGACCACTATAGTGCCAGGAAAACATACTCGTTTTCCTGGCACTATAGTGCCCTGAGGGTGCCCCCACCCTCAGGGTCCCCCTCCCGCCCAGCTCTGGAAGGGAGAAAGGGGTAAAAACGTACCTTTTTCCAGCACTGGGCGGGGAGCTCTCCTCCTCCGATCCTCCTCTTCTCCTCCCCGTCTGCTGAATGCGCACGCGCGGCAAGAGCTGCGCGCGCATTCAGCCGGTGACATAGGAAAGCCTTCATAATGCTTTCCTATGGACGCTGGGTGTGCTCTCACTGTGAAAATCAGATTAGGTGTTGAATCTGCAAACTACAGCTATTATTTTTGTGGGTGCTATACTACATTTTTGTACCCTGCCCTGAGCCCAGTGCCACAGCGAATGCAGTGCACTTGCAACTGCATGTGTGCCAAGCACATTACTTTAATCCTGTTCTGGTAGCTCAGTGGGCAACATCTATGCATTTTTAAATACTGCAATTTTTTTGGTGCTAAAAAGTACATTTGCGGCCTGCAGTGCACTTCATATCTGAGAATCAAATAGAACCGTCAAATACTGTGGTTACAGCGCATTTTTAAACATTCAAATTCTTTAAGTGCTAAATAGTACAGTTGTGGCCTGCACTTCATATCTGAGAGTCAAATAGAACCGTCAAATACTGCTGTGACATAGTATTTTAAACATTCAAATTCTTTAGGTGCGAAATAGTACATTTGGGGTGTGCACTTCATATCTGGTGTATGTGTGCAACACTGGCTAGTTACCGCTTCTCAAGAAAGTGTAAAGACTTTTAAAAAAAGTGAAAAATAAGTGTTATTGTGATCGCTTCATATACAGAAGCATTAATATACATTTCTATATTGTGTAAAGACACAACTACAAAGTTAAAAAACAAACACCAAAACAACATGTCAGACAATTTACCTGTGCCTGGCTAGTGTGATACAATCAGTCTACATCTTAAAAATGCAATAACCCACAGAAGGTGGGCGAGAATTTTTTTTTTGCAAATGGAACTTTGATTCGAATTTACTACATCGGTCACTTGTAATATTGTTTCACACCTACAATACTTGTTACTCAGATCTAAGTGATAGAAAACAGATTGATATTTTCTACACTAGAAAATACCAGATAACAAGCTGCTATATTTAAACCAGTTATCAATAGCTAAGAGTTACTTCAACAATATTGTAATTCTGGGGCAATACCCTCACAAGTCAAACTGAGAGGTCAGTTTATAGGGAAAACTGTTGCCTGGATAAAATTCTAAAACAATTTCCATTTGTCCTTTGCAGACTTTACATGCTGGAAAAACAGAGGTACCAACTACTGTGGATTTCTGCAGTGTGCAGACCGGCAAGGAGGGCAGGGTTAAGGAGTGGGTGGAAGATGATGTGGAGGAGAATAAGGTCCTAGACCCCACATGGAATGAATGTCATGCGAGTGACGTGTGCAGTTTGGAGGAAGAGGCGATGGTCGCACAGAGGCACCAGCACAGCATAAGAGGGAGCAAGGTGCAAAAGTAGAGCGGCCATCCCATAGCGCTCGTCGGCATGTATTAGCTCTAGAATTACCACAGTTATCCAAGTAGCAGATGGAGCAATCAAAGGAACCATAACTGATTTAATCAGCCATTCGCAGTTTCACTGTAGCGGCTGTGAGCGCTTTCGGCGTTCTCACCCTGCTGCTGCTCGCCTGTCTGGGCTGCAGCGTAACTTCGGCCTTCCCTCTCACCACCTCATATGTGATGTGCCCACAAGGTGGAACTCCACCTTGCACATGCTGGAGAGACTGTACGAGCAGCAGCAGGCGATAGCGGAGTTTCAGCTTCAGCACGCATGGGTCAGTCGCTCTGCACCAGCGACTGACCCGTGCGTACCCTCCAATAGATCCTCGTTAAAGGATTTAAAGTGGACTCATTCCAATTACAGGGCCTGGAAAGAATCCTGTATTGTTATTTATCGTCACTACCTCCCCACGTCGGGAGTGGGTAATTTGCGCGCCTGCTGCCTTCCTTGGATGTGGTAGCCGTTTCTCAGGCTCCCTCTCCGGAATCGAACACTGATTCCCCGGTACCCGTGGTCACCATGGTAGGCGCAGAAAGTAACATCGAAAGTTGATAGGGCAGACATCCGAATGCGTTGTTGTTGCCACGGTCACCGCCTCTTCAACCTCCAACTCCACATCCACCTCCTCCTCCTAGAGCAGGGTGCAAAAGTGAAGCAGCCATCCCCTAGACAGTACGCCTGCTACTGCCCACTGCACCCAGGGACCGAGCACACCAAAGCCAGCTCCATGGAGAACCCAGTCGATTCCTGTGACACCTCCCGATAGGCAAACAGGAGATGGGGCAGGAATCTCTCTCAATCCTCTCAGTCACTGCAAAGGTACGGAGCATTTGCTTCAACGTACTGTTGAAGCGCTCACACAGGCCATTGGTCTGGGGGTGGTAAGGGGAGTGCAGGATTGGTTTAATGTGCACAATCTCCACAGTTAGTGGGCCATTTCGGCAGTAAACTGGGTGCCCTGGTCTGAGAGAATCTCCCGGGAAAACCCATCCAGGAGAACACTCGCATCAAGGCTTCAGCCATAGTCTCTGCCCGAATACTGCTCAGGGTACCAAGTCGCGTAGTCCATGGTTAGAATGTACTTCTTCCCAGAGGGACTAGGCTTGGCTAGGGGACCTATAATGTCAACAGCTACTCTGCCAAACGGATCTTTACTAATAGGTAGGGGATGGAGGGGGGCTCTGTGCAGTACCCATTTTCTTCCCCACTCTCTGGCAGACATCTGGCAGTACTGCCTCAGATCCTGAGAGATGCCTGGCCAGAAGAAGCTTTGGGTGAGCTGAGACGCTGTCCGCCTCCTGCCCAAATGCCCTGCCAAGCTCATCCCAATACTTCTTGGATCTGGGGCTGGCAGTCTCTCACCAGCCGTGTCATTGGGGAGCCCATTGAAAAAGTGCTCTAGCATGACGAGCTGGGTGATCTCCTCCGGGAACTTGGCTTGATGGGAGTTGAGCTAGTTCTGGGTGGCCCTTGTGATGCAGCATGCCCACTGCACATGGGAGTCCTTCTCCCCTTTCCTGGTCTCCCTAAACTTTTGGCAGTATTGCTCGGGGGTGACCGCATACCGGGCCAGAAGGATTTGTGTAATAAAGGGATAGTCTCTGATCTGCTCTTCTGGTACAGCCCGGTAAATATCCGCTGCTTTCCCCACTAGTTTGCTGGCCAGGATGGTGACCCAGTCGATGGGGTCCACGTCTTTGAGTAGGCACTGGCGCTCAAAGTCTTGTAAAAAGTAATCAATGCCTTCTTCTGCTTCCTTGAACTCTTTGAAGGCATTGTATGGTAGCTTGTGGGTGAGTGAGCACTTCCCTGCAGGCCGCCGGCGGCCGGGTAAAGGAAACAGAAGTTCCTGTTCCACGCCCCCGGCCACGCTACATATGCAGGAGGGCAAGGACCACCAGGGGAGGTAGGTAAGGACCACAGGGGGAGGTAAGGACCACCAGGGAAGGGGGGTATGGACCAAAAGGGGGGGTAAGGACCACCAGGGGAGGGGTGGTAGGACCACCAGCAAGGGGGTATGGACCACAAGGGGAGGGTAGTATGGACCACAAGGGGAGGGAGGGAGGTAGGCAAGGACCACAGGGGAGAGGGGGTAGGTAAGGACCACGACCACAGGGGGGTAGGACAGCAGGGGGAGGGGGAGTAAGGACCACTGTGGGAGGAGCTGGGTGTAAGGACCACTGTGGGAGAAGGAGGGGTAGAACCACTAGGGAAGGGGGGAGTAGAACCACCAGGGAGGAAGGGGAAGAACCACTAGGGGAGGAAGGGGAGGAAGGACCACTGGGAAGGGGTGAAGGAACACAGGGGAGGTAAGGACCACTGAGGGAGGAGGGGTCCACTAAGGGTTTGAGAGGAGGAGGACCACTAGGGGGAGGTAAGGACCACTGGGGGGGAGAAAGAGGATAATGACCACTGAGGGGGGGAGATTACCACTAAGGGGGTGGGGGGAGAAGGGGAATGTCTACTAAGGGGTTTGGGAGAGGGAGGACCACTAAGGGGAGGGATGGAGGACCACTAAGGGGGAGAGGGAGGAGTGAGAAGACCACCAAGGGGGGACTACAGGGGGCCAAGGTAGAGCACTAAGGGACAGAAGGGGAGAACACGGAGGGACAAGAGGGAAGGGGAAATCAATAATTGACAGGAGGGGAAAGCACTATGAAAAAAAAATTTAAAAAAATAAAGAGCTGCTCCCCTCTCAGTCCCTATCCTACCCCACAAACCCTCTCTTTTACACTACACACATACACAATGCATCCCTCCACACACACACACACACACACAGAAACATACAATGCATTCCTACTCACACACAGACATACCCGAAACACACAATGCATCCCTTACGTTCACACACTCATTCTCTTACACACAGAAACAAAATGCATCTCTTACACAATCAATGCACCCCTTACAGACACAGACTGCATTCAATTAAATACACAGAAACACACCTTGCACCCCTTACACACACACACACAGAAACATATAATGCATTCATTACACGCAAACACACACTGCATCCACTATAAACACTACATCCCTTACAGAAATTGGTATCCCTATACACTACATTCTATAAGAACACACACATTGCATCCTCTACAATAACACATAAAACATCCCCTACACACATACACTCCACTTCCTCATGGGTGGGCCATGTAGGTGAATTTATGGGTGGGCATTGTAGGCATACTCAGGGTCAAGCCCTGGGGGCCCAGACCTTGAGCTGTGTAAGGTGCCCTAAAAAAATGGAGCTGCTTCCTGTTCGTTAATTGTTGTGAGCACTGTTAAAAACAGTCTCCAGAGAGCCTCTTCTACACCAAATCTGTGGAGCCAGACAGAGCCCATCATCAGCCTCTTGTCCTCATCTGGTGGTAAGTAGGCAATCCAATATATTATTAGTGGCACTAATCTCTAATTTACCTCACATTAAATGGATACTATAGTCACCAGAAGCACTACAGCATAATGTAGTGGTTCTGGTGTCTATAGCCTGTGCCTGTAGGCTTTTTAATTTAAACACACTGTCTTTTCAGATAAGACACTTTGTGAAGACTGGCGTTGGCCCATATGGCAGAACATATGGACGGGGCTTTGTGATGTCACATGGTGGGCAGGGCATATGGGGGGGGGGCAAATTTATTTTTGCCTAGGGCGGCAAAAATCCTTGCACCGGCCCTGGTGGTGTGCGATAATGGGCGAATTCTCGTAGCCGCTCTGGGCCTAGCCGGATTGACGCACATCCCTTGCCTGGCGCATGTGCTGAATTTGGTGGTGAAATTCCGGAAAAACTACCCAGATATATCAGAGCAACTGCAGAACGTGCAGGTCGTCTGTGCGCGCTTTCGGCGTTCTCATCCTGCTGATGCGCGCCTGTCTGCGCTGCATCGTAACTTCGGCCTTCCCGCTCACCGCCTTATATGCGACGTGCCCATAAGGTGGAACTCCACCTTGCACATGCTGGAGAGACTGTGCGAGCAGCAGCACGCACGGGTCAGTCGCTCTGCGAAACAGCACCACTTCACCACCAATGAGTGGGCCTCCATGCGAGACCTGTGTTCCATGTTGCACTGTTTCGAGTACTCCACCAACATGGCCAGTGCCGATGACGCTGTTCTCAGCCTTACTATCCCACTTCTCCTTGAAAAAACGCTTTGGGCGATGATGGAAGAGGATGTGGCACAGGAGGAAGAGGAGGAGGAAGAGGGGTAATTTCCATGGTTATCAGGCCAGTCATTCACAAGTGGCTCAGAGGGTGGGTTCCTGCACCAGCATAGGCCAGGTACACAATTGTCCAGCATCTCCACACTGTCCCATGGAAGCGTTCAGCTGTCCATCTCCCAAACACTGGAGAGAAAGAGGAAGTACCCCCCTACCCACCCGCGATCCCTGGCCCTGAATTCAAAATTCCAGGCCTTTGAAATGCTGTCATTCCGTCTGGTGGAGACGGACAGTTTTAAAAACCTGATGGCGTTATTGGACTGCAAGAAATGCACCGCAGGCCGCAAATGTTTCTTTTTTTATATGTCCCAATATTTTGGGGGCTACCCCAATTTAAAAAAAAAAAAAAAAAAAGTGTTGGCTACCTCCTCCGCCGCTTCCACCTACACTGCCACAGTCACCGCCTCCTCAACCTCCTACTCCACATCCACCTCCTCTTCCTAGAGCAGGGTGCAAAAGCGGAGCGGCCGTCCCCTAGACAGTACACCTTCTACTGCCCACCGCAACCAGGGACCGAGCACACCAAAGCCAGCTCCAAGGAGTTCCCTGGCGTGTCAGTTCTTCAGACAATGTGCTGACGACAAGTACGAGTGGTTTGCACGCTGTGTAATCAGAGCCTGAAGCGAGGCATAAACGTTCTAAACCTGAGCACAACCTGCATGACCAGGCATCTACATGCAAAGCACGAGCTGCAGTGGAGTAAGCACCTCAAAAACCAAGAAAGGTCTCAGGCTCCTCCTGTTTCCTCTTCTGCTGTGGTCTCGACCTCTTCCTCCACCTCTGGAGTGACAGTGGCACCTGCAACCCAGCAAACAGAGGATGTGGCAGCAACGCCACCACGTCTGCCACCGTCCCCAAGGTCCCATGGAAGCGTTCAGCTGTCCATCTCCCAAACACTGAAGAGAAAGAGAATGTACCCCCATACCCACCCGCGATCCCTGGCCCTGAATGCCAGCATTTCAAAATTCCTGGCCTTTGAAATGCTGTCATTCCGTCTGGTGGAGATGAACAGTTTTAAAAACCTGATGGCGTTATTGGATTGCAAGAAATGCACCGCAGGCCGCAAATGTTTCTTTTGTTACATGTCCCAATATTTTGGGGGCTACCCCAATTAAAAAAACAAACAAAAAACCAGTGTTGGCTTTCACCTCCTCCGCCACGGTCACCGCCTCCTCAACCTATGGGTCACTTAGTATAAACTATGTACACAATAGCAGAGGCTTGTGAAGGCCTTTTCTCCATGCTCAGTTTGAACAATGAAAGAATACCCTGCACTCCAACCCTCTCTCAAATGGATGCCCAAAAGTTCGGGTCTCCATTGACTTCAATCTGGTTCAAGTTTGGGTCAAGTTCGAGCCCGAACTCGAACTATTTTACGAAGTTCAGCCGAACTCGGCAAACCCGAACATCCAGGTGTCTGCTCAACTCTAATTACAATTAAGCCAGCCGACAAAAGCGTGTGTGTGTGGGTTATTGTGATCATGTCCATAAAGTACTATAATGAAGAAGCGTTAAACCTTCAAGGAAATAGGGGCACATACGGGATCTTAGATAAAGATCCTTTAAGCACCATGCAGATCCCTTTGGAATCTCTACTAAATGTGGCAAAATAAAAAGGAATCATTACAGAGGCATATTCCTATACATTACATATCCCAAAACACAAGTGTTTCATTTTCTACCTAAATCCATAAAAATAATATTTAGGGGAGCCCCCAACATCAGAATCCACATAGTTAAAAGCCATAGAGGCACCTCAAGTATTACCTTTAAGAACGCACTAGAAGGCTTCTTCAAGCGCAACAAGTGTGCAGCCTACAAAGAAAGTTCTGTCAATCAATAAAGAAGGATCACAACATTCAGATGTTTCAAGGATATACAAGATTAATGACACATTAACCTGCAAAAGCACTCATGTAATTTATATGTTAGAGTGTCCTTGTAGACTGAAATTTATAGGAAGGACTACGAGAAGATTATCTGTAAGCTATGAACACATAAATATAAAAAAACATTTGGGAACACATGAGAAATATTTAAACACATGTATACAACACTGTGTATCAGCTCACTTTTCTACACATCACAACACTGACGCCAAATTATTGTCATTTTTGGCAATATGCAAATTAATGAAGAACTGGAGAGGTGGTGACCATTTGAAAGAACTCAGAAGAGCAGAAAGTAAATGGATATATCAGATGGCCGTGTTAATACCAGACGGTCTTAATTCTGATTTTGCACCATGTTATTTTTTTATAGTAATTTTACCTTTTTTTTCCCCTCTCCCTATAACCAAGCTAGATTGGAGTAAAGGACTTCCCCTGGCTCCGCCCATCACACAAAGGTGGGCTATTTTAACATGAAGACAAGCACTTTGCAAAATGCCACAACCATTGATAAACCCTAAGAAGGTGAAACGCGTTTAGCTTCATAAACTGACTGGCATCCACAGGGAAAAGTTGTTGAAAGAACCTGGAACTCTACCTCTCTATCACCACACTAAGACTGGAAGATCACTGGAACAACCCAAGGATTATGATTTAAACTGGACTATCTACAGAGTCTCCTTTCGGGAGAGTCACTTCCAGTGTTCATACACTGCTTCCCATTATTTGGGAATAAGACTTTTCTCTCTCAGAGATTTGTCTAACACTTTGGCTTTCTTGGCTGTCATATTTGCTGCTAATATCTCTTTTTTTATGGATATATGTATTGTTGCTATTTCCTATGCTGCTTATGTACGATTATTTATGCTGTATTTTTTAATGCTAATAGTCTATTTTTTTACATTTGCACTTTGTACTTTTGTACATTTTTTATATTAATAAGACAATAACCAATTAGATGGTTTTATTGAATATTATTTTACTGCGTATTTAGTACACCTTACCCTTCCTTTATTTTTCCCCTGCGTAGCTTTACTTTTTTATTGGTAATTTTAAAAGTGTATCCGACAATATTAAATCATTGATAAGTTTATCCAAAAATACTAAATCAAATACTGACCTTAGTTTGCTAAAATACAGCGTTTACTAGATAACACGTAATATTTAATTTTTTATTTATTATGCTTTAAAAAAAAAAATGTAAAAAAATAAAATCAATACACAAACATAAATGGACATGAACTGTGTTTTGAGCCAAGTGTACAGTAAATGGAAAGTTGAAGAGGTTACTGGCCGCGTAGCATGAAGAAGGTGTATTTATTGGAATGATTCTAGAATACCTTTACAGCTAACAAAGGGTTTCAAAGATTAGGCAAAAACAAATGGCCTAGAATTCCTGATATTCACCCTTTAGTAAATAAACTGGACAGTGTGCTCATGAAGAATTCAGACAGGATTTCTACTAAGTATGACACATGAGAGCACGGTGGCCCCTGTCTCCTGCACCAATCCATGGCTGCCCTATCACTTCTGTATCGAAAAACCTGAATTTACTGTCAACCCTGCAACTGCTCGTACTGGAAAACAAACTGTGTGCTTTAGGAAAAGCAGTCATTTACAAAAAGGTGGAGTAAAGCAAAACTGAAATGTCTCCTTCTCTGATCTAAAAGAAACACTCCACTGTCCAAATGGGTGAACAAGTATAATTCACTGTTTAATAGATATCCCTGCAATGAATGCATGCATATACCGTAAAACAACTTGCTTGAATTCATTGCAGAGTTTGCAAGCGCTCCCCCTTTTTCATGGAAGAGACTATGGAGAAACCTCTAAAGCTCTCCTACTGTGCATGCGCCTGCTCGCCCTTCACGGCGTTCTAATCAGAGCTCTGAAAACCAGGTATGCAAAGGGGAAGGCAGGCACACCCAGATGACCTAATGGAAGTAAAACGCAAACCTCCCTGGCTGTATGATTGACAATATTTGTAAAATTGAACATTTTTCATAGAAATCATGGGATTCTCCACATTCTTGTGGAGTGGTCCTTTAAGGCACCTCCACACAGGACTGCTAAGCAGGCCTCGTATTGCTCCTAACAGCTACAATGCAGAATATGCACGCATAGACTTACCAAAAGGTGGACAAGCTGGGCTGAGGGGGGAAATCAACACAGGGCTACATAGAGCAGAAACTGAGACGAATATTCCAATGGGTGATTCACGCAGCACTCCAGGCTCCCACAAGTCCCCTAAACAGATCAACCCCCTCCCCCACACCTTGCACCTTGCTCAAACACTTCATTTGTGATGTCTGAATGGGCTAACAAGCGGTAACGTGCAGGTTAATTATGCTTAAGGATCCTTCAAATCATTAAAAAGGCTGGTAACGAGCTGAGACTGCATCATTTAATGACAGAGGAACCAGGTAAAGAGTCTGGGAGCACGTATATACAAACAACATATTCTGAACAAGAAAACACCAAACCTAACGGGATCAATACAATCTGCTCATCAAACTATGTTAAAGAATCCAAAAACATTGTTTAATAATATCAATAAAAAAAAGAAAAAAAAAAGGTGTTTTTTGAAGAGTGATATAAAATGCCGTCACTGCCGGGCACCATGTTAGCGTTCTGTGTGTGTGCGCAGGTCTGTGGTAACCGGGTCATGCTGAATCGTCTGGTGAAGCATTAAAGCCAGGAGCCCAGCTCTGTTTGTCATCGCCATACGGACATTGCGTTCTTGCTCAAACAGCTCGTCCAACTTGTACCACTGCAAGACAATCAAAGAAGGGTTCAGCAAATCCAGCACTGGAACACAGCTTGCACTATTCAGATATCTGGTCTGGGGATATTCAAAGCCCAATGTGTTTTCACTAAACTGTGAGTTTTGGACAATTGTTATGAGAATTGCACATCTTCAGCATTACTCAAAATATCCAAACTGGAAAATCTCTTTAAGTCGGCTCTGCTTTCAGTTTGGCTACCATGGCCTTACATTTGAAATTCACTTAGAATGCACTTTACATTCTCACTTTAGTAAATAACCCTGTTTATGTCAAAACAGCCTAGATGGACAATTAGCTGATCTAGATAGACAATTAAAATGACCACTTCTGCCCATTGGAGTGGTCTCGGTGCCAACTGCCACTACCCTTAACCCTGCAAGTGTAATTATTGCAGTTTTTTTATAAAGTGCAATAATTATCTTGCAGGGTTAACTCCTCCTCTAGGGGCTGTCTCTAGACAGCCACTAGAGGGCACTTGCTGGTCCATAGCACAGGTTTTGTGCTATAGCGTCGCTGGACGTCCTTACGCTATGTGAGGACCTCCAGCGTCGCTCAATTCCCCATGGGAAAGCATTGAAAGCATTTTCAATACTTTCCTATAGAGAGCTCTAATGCGCGGGCGGAATCAGTCTCGCCCACCGGCTGACGTAAGGAAGAGGAGGAGCGGCGGCGAGCAGAAACCACCGCCGAGGCACATCAGCGGGGGTCTCAGGTAAGTGACTGAAGGGGTTTTCACCCCTTCAGCAACCGGGGATGGGAGGGAGAGGGGGCCTGCAGTGCCAGGAAAACGGATTGTTTTCCTGGCACTGGAGTGTCCCTTTAACTGATCTAGATGGACAATTAGCTGATCTAGATGGACAATTAGCTGATCTAGATGGACAATTAGCTGATCTAGATGAACAGGGAGACAGAAAAAAACAATAACAGAAAACAGAGCTGGCAGGATCGCAGAGAGCAACAAAAGCATCATGATCAAAATTTCACATAAACAGATCAAACCTTTATAGTACTATAAGATAGCAATAAAGCACCAGACTCGACATTAATTAGGTGCAAACCTACCACACGGACACGCTCAAGGTCCACCTCAGCTCTCCGCAGCTTTTCCCAGCAATAATGTCTGTTACATTTCCTCTTCGGGACTCGGCAAAAGTCACCGGTCAAATCAAAGACATCCTTTACCATAGGGCACCCACAAACCTCATCGGCAGGCACCTAATATCACAAGATACAAAAAGAGGTCAGCAATTATACAAGGTCAGGTGGTGAGTGGTCATGCCATAGATTAAACTCCTGTGCTTACCTTTGGGTCCCGGGAGTGCTCTGGACAAAGAACCTGAAGCCGTTTACAGTAAGTCTTACTGTGCGGATTGTAAACATCACAAAAAAGCCGTGTGGCCCTGAAAGGAACAAAAATAAATGTTTGTGCTCCACACATTACAGCAGGTTACTAAACACAGGCAGCAGAATTGGATAGAAGCAATAGAGGCAAGAAAGGACAAGGATGTGACATGGCAAGGAAGAACAGCGATGTGACGTGGCAAGAAAGGACAGCGATGAGACGTGGCAAGAAAGGACAGCGATGAGACGTGGCAAGAAAGGACATCTATGCAACAGGGCACGAAATGACAGCTATGCGACAGGGCATGAAAGGACAACGATGTCACAGGGCAAGAAAGGACAGCGATGTGACGGGGCAAGAAAGGACAGCGATGAGACGTGGCAAGAAAGGACATCTATGCAACAGGGCACGAAATGACAGCTATGCGGCAGGGCATGAAAGGACAACGATGTCACAGGGCAAGGAAGTACAGCGATGTGACGGGAAATAAAGGACAGCGATGAGACGTGGCAAGAAAGGACAACAATACGACGGGGGATGAAAGGACAGCTATGCAACAGGGCACGAAAGGACAGAGATGCGGCGGGGGCAAGAAAGGACAGAGATGTGACGGGGCAAGAAAGGACAGAGATGTGACGGGGCAAGAAAGGACAGAGATGTGACGGGGCAAGAAAGGACAGCGATGTGACGGGGGCAAGAAAGGACAGCGATGTGACGGGGCAAGAAAGGACAGCGATGTGACGGGGCAAGAAAGGACAGCGATGTGACGGGGCAAGAAAGGACAGCGATGTAAAGAAAGGACAGCGATGTGTGAGGGGCAGAAAGGACAGCGATGGGGCCGGGGCAGAAAGGACAGCAATGTGACGGGGCAAGAAAGGACAGCGATGTGGCGGGGCAAGAAAGGACAGCTGATGACGGGGCAAAAGAACAGCGATGTGGCGGGGCAAGAAAGGACAGCGATGTGGCAGGGGGGCAAGAAAAGGACAGCGATGTGACGGGGGCAAGAAAGGACAGCGATGTGACGGGGGCAAGAAAGGACAGCGATGTGACGGGGGCAAGAAAGGACAGCGATGTGACGGGGCAAGAAAGGACAGTGATGTGACGGGGGCAAGAAAGGACAGTTTGTAGGTGATGAGTTGTTGTCTTAGCAATCCTTACCCTTCGATTCGTGTAGGGTACATGGAACCAAAGGATGTCTGGCTCTCATACTATGGAAAATAAGAGAAAATATGCAATAAACAGACATGTTTCGGAGGTTTCCCTGCCCCCAAACAAGTCATATGAAAGGAAGCATGTTATCCATAAAACTTTTTGTTAACTATTACACACAATGAAACTCGCTAATGGGTCAAAGAAACCGCACCTCTATAAACCCGGTCCAAAATAAGACTCCCAATAGCAGCAGGAAGGGAATAAAAGCTGACCTTGGCATAGCAGCGCTCCATGTGTCTTAAAGCAACTTTAGGGTTCACAGGGTGCCCACAGGACACACAAAAGATCTGCAAGTCGTTGTCATCACTGTCGCCATCATTGGTCTGTGGAGAAAAGACAAGTTAATGTGAGACACTCTTTCATCTCCACTATGCAGCCGATTCCCCCTGAGATACAGATCTTAACCTAACGGAAAGTAATATCTGAAGAGGATCCTGAAAGTTACCCTCAGAGATCACATACCATCACAGCTCCTTAAGCCTTTCATGGCAGACACTCCCTCACATTGCTTAGGCCTCCCATGGCAGACATAACACCAAAGCTCACCTCTTCATCTTCACGAACATGCTGTTGTTTTGCCTTACTGATAAGGGCCTCTAACTCGTGAAATTTCCGCTCCATCTCTTGAAGTTTGGTGCGCGCCTGTTGCTGCTCTCGCCGGATCCTTTCCAAAAGCTTCTTTCCTTGCTCCTCAGCAATGCACGGGCTCTGCTGCCACTGCTGGATGCGCTGAGGAAGGATCTCATATATGCGACTAAAAACAAGCGATATCCAGTGAGACATAATGTGGCACCGACAGCATGTTATTCATATATTGCTTGTGATCATGCAACGCAAATGTAAAATTGTAAAAAGCAGCGGAATAAGTTGGCGTTATACAGCTAAATATTAGAAGATGGTAAGGTGGAAGCTGGCGTAGAGCAAGACTCACTTGGCTGCCAGTTTCATGCCACAGTCGTCAGAGCAGTACTTGGAGGTGGCTCGGGCTGGCTGCACACAGCTAGGTCCGAGACACTGTCGTAGAGACGAGAAGTCCCTGTTCTCCAGGCGCTCTGAGTGCTTAGCTTTGTCCTTGTGCCTTTGTTTTTGTTTGTGCCGCTTATATTTATCGTCCTTCTGCATGAACAAAGGAAACTTTCAAGGGTCTATTCACTAACCTTTGTGACTAAAAGAAGAAAAAACAAAAACAACAGAATCTGCAAGGTGTAGGTAAAATGCATGCAGATTCTCTGCAAATTGTACATTTAATTGCACTTAAAATGTATAAGTCCAACACACAGTTTGCAGAAAATCGCAGTGTTTGCCTACAATGATCTAAATGTGTGCTTAGACCACTGATGCATAAGAAAACTGAGAAGGAACCATTTCCTCCTTATTGAACCCCTTTCACATCAGACTTGCTGGATCAGTATTTTCCCAATAACCTCTGTGAGAATGTTCACCTGTCAGAGTACTATCTGTGGGAGAAGGGAGAATGTCATCTTATTTTACACACTATACATCAAAACAAATTTACCATAAAAGTACGAGAGAAGACAGGACCACTTGGGAAACGTAGATTTAGGTTGACAACATTAGCACTAAACAAAACAAAACACACTTAAAACATTTCAAATAAGACTGTAAGGCAAATATATTGCTTAATAATTGGTAAAACAAGCCAAGAGTATTGTTTTCAGTTCTATAGAGCAGATCCCAAGACATGGAGTAATAGTGAAAGTACTTTATAGATCCCCGATAAGATCTCACTTCGTGATGTACTAGCAAAACCATTAAAGGGAAACTCCAGTGCCACCCCCTAATCCCCGGTTGCTGAAGGGGTAAAAACCCCTTCAGTAACTTACCGGCGGCAGCGACGATGTCCCACGTCACTGCTTCTTCCTTCGCGCCGCTCCTCCCTCTGAATGAGTCAGCCGGTAGGCAAGACTGATTCCGCCCACCGGCCGGGGAGACCTAATGCGCACGGGCGGCAATGCAGCGCATGCGCATTAGCGCTCCCCATAGGAAAGCATTGAAAATCCTGTGCTAGAAACCAGGAAGTGCCCTCTAGTGGCTCCACTAGAGGTGGAGTTAACCCTGCAAGGTAATTATTGCAGTTTATAAAAAATAAATAATTACACTTGCAGGCTTAAGAGTAGTGGGAATTGGCACCCAGACCACTCCAATGGGCAGAAGTGGTCTGGGTGCCTGGAGTGTCCCTTTAACAGATTTATTTAACCAATCATTGTTAACAGGAGTAGTTCCAGAAGATTGGAAGTTAGCGAATGTTGTGCCCATTCACAAGGATGGTAGTAGGGAGGAGTCGGGCAACTATAGGCCAGTAAGCCTTACTCCAGTAGTGGGGAAAGTAATGGAAACCATGTTAAAGGATAGGATTGATGAACATCTAAAATCACATGGATTTTAAGATCAGAGACAACATGGGTTTACTTCAGGGAGATCATGCCAAACTAATCTTATTGATTATTTTGATTGGGTAACTAAAATTGTAGATCAGGGTGGTGCAGTAGACATTACTTACCTAGATTTCAGTAAGGCTTTTGACACTGTTGCACATAGAAGGCTTATCAATAAACTGCAATCTTTAAGTTTGGATTCCAATATTGTTGAATGGGTTAGGCAGTGGCTGAGTGACAGGCAACAGAGGGTTGTAGTTAATGGAATATATTCGGAGCTTGGACTTGTCACCAGTGGGGTACCTCAGGGATCTGTACTTGGACCCATTTTCTTTAATATTTTTATTAGTGATATTGCAGAAGGTCTTGATGGTAATGTATGTCTTTTTGCGGATGATACTAAAATGTGCAACAGTGTTGATGTTCCAGGAGGGATAAGCCAAATGGCAAATGATTTAGGTAAATTAGAAAAATGGTCAGAGCTGTGGCAACCAACATTTAATATGGATAAGTGCAAGTTAATGCCTCTTAGGTGTAAAAACCCAAGGGCAGAGTACAGACTATGTGATACCCTACTAACCTCAACATCTGAGGAAAGGGATTTAGGAGTAATTATTTCAGATGGCTTAAAGGTAGGCAGACAATGTAATAGAGCAGCAGGACATGCTGGCAGAATGCTTGGTTGTAAGATAAAACTTACAAGGAAAGGTTAAATGATCTTAACATGTATAGCTCGGAGAAAAGACGAGACGGGGGGGATATGATAGAAACATTTACATACATAAAGGGAATCAACTCGGTTACATAGTTACATAGCTAAAGAGAGACGTGCATCCATCAAGTTCAGCCTTCCTCACATTTGTTTTTGCTGTTGCTTCCAATTTTGCAACAAACTAGGAAAAAATTCCTTCTAGACCCCAAAATAGCAGTCAGATGTCTCTTTGGATCAAGCAGCTATTGCCCCACTAATTAGAAATTATATCCCTGTATGTTTTTGCAAGTATTTATCCAATTGCAGTTTAAACATCTGTAGAGACTCTGATAAAACCAGCTCTTCAGGCAGAGAATTCCATATCCTTATTGCTCTTACTGTAAAAAAACAACAACTTTTCTTTGCCTTAAATGAACTCTCCTTTCCTCACCGTAAAGGAGGAAACTATATTTAAAAGAAGAAAAACTACCACAACAAGAGGACATAGTCTTAAATTAGAGAGGCAAGGGTTTAAAAATAATTTCAGGAAGTATAACTTTAAAGAGAGGGTAGTGGACGCATGGAATAGCCTTCCAGCTGAAGTGGTAGACGTTAACACAGTGAGGGAGTTTAAGCATGCGGCTATCCTAGACTTAAGATAAGGCCAGGGACTAATGAAAGTATTTGGAAAATTGGGCAGACTAGATGGGCCGAATGGTTCTTATCTGCCGTCACATTCTATGTTTCTGTGTTTAGTTCTATAGAGCAGATCCCAGGAGGACATAGAGAGGTAGTGATAGTACTTTATAGATCCCTGGTAAGATCTCACCTAGAGTATTGTGTTCAGTTCTATAGAGCAGATCCCAGGAGGACATAGAGAGGTAGTGATAGTACTTTATAGATCCCTGGTAAGATCTCACCTAGAGTATTGTGTTCAGTTCTATAGAGCAGATTCCAGGAGGATATAGAGAGGTAGTGATAGTACTTTATAGATCCCCGGTAAGATCTCACCTAGAGTATTGTGTTCAGTTCTATAGAGCAGATCCCAGGAGGACATAGAGAGTTAGTGGTAGTACTTTATAGATCCCCGGTAGGATCTCACCTAGAGTATTGTGTTCAGTTCTATAGAGCAGATCCCCAGTAGATGCCAACTAGCCAATACCAGAATATTCTTTGACTTTTTAATTATTTAATGCAAATTCAATAAACGCAATTATTTGCATTTTCCGAGTTACCTTTTTCTCAGATTTCTTCTCGCGCCTTTTTACATGCTTGACTTTCACAGCTCTCTTTCTCAGAACAGAATCGAGGAATGGAGTATCATCTGTATCACTGAGCCATGGCTGTAGAAACCCAAATAGTTAGGTATAGACATGTGTCACCTATCTAAACCTCCCATCAACCCACTGAAAATCCCAGCTACCAGATTCTGGTCATCAAACGCTCCTCCAGCACAAAGTTCCTGATACAACTCTGGATCCAACGGTAGATCATCATCTGATAAAGACTCAGCGAGACTTGGTGGCTCGGGTGTGTCCCTAAAAGTTGAAACCTCATCATCTCTCACACGCAGCATTTTCTAGGGAGAAAGGGCAAAGCATGGGGGTGTTAGATTGAGCAGAGCCACTGAAGTGGTAAACAGGGGGAAAAGAATTTTGGAGCAATCTTTTAAGGGAAACCACTGACGGCAGGGGATAATTCAGAGGCTCGCAAAGTATAGGAAAAACTGGGACAGAGCAACTCTGATTAGAAAAAATAAAAATAGCCGTCAGAAGGCGACACTCTTACCCTTGCTCTCACTTGGCATTGGCGGAGTCGGCATTTTTGCCGAATCTTATTGGGGCCTCCAAACTTCTTCATATCTCTGCAGAAGTCACACTGACCGCAATCCTCAGTTCGACAACATGACTCACATTCTCCACACATGCGTGCTGATCGCTTGATCTGTTGCTAAAAGGGAGACAAACACAGACAGTGACTTACAACACAATTCTGTAGTATTGGACACATAAATTAGAAAAAAAACAAAAAAAAACACATTCTCACTGCATGCCAGACAATGTGATCGACAAATAAAAAGCAAAACCACCTACAGTGATATTAAAAGGATACTTTAGGCATGGTCACTGCTTCCACTCATTTATGTAGTTATAGTGTTTGGAGTCCTCAGTGCTAAACCGTTTTTAATGTTTCAAATTTAAACGAGAGTCCCTAGACGCCAAGTGTAACGGCACCCCCAGGCATAATAGGGTTAAACCGGCGTTTAGAAGATCTTCCCCTTCCAGAGATACAGGCACAGCTACTGCAGAACACCAAACTCCCGAACTGCATACAAAATAGCACTCCAAACTCCCGAACTGGAACCTCACGAATAGCTGCTAGCAGACGAATAGGAAAAGCACCCAAGCGGCTTACACTCCTAGCAATCAGTCTCTAACAGCATACAGTAAATCCCCCCAAGAACGAGACAAGGCTTCGTGTTGAGGGTTAAGCAGTGGTCTGATTTATTCAGGGCTACCTGCCCAATATTTATACAGGTCTCCCACCTGGTGGACCCTCCGCTAGGGGACCAAATGGGAGACTGTAACACAGACAGACATGTATCACATTCAGACACACAGAAGTAAAACATCCCCACAATGCATCCTAATTTCCCTCCCTCTATCCTGGAGATAATTGGGAAGTAATCCAATTATCTCCCAGGACAGAGGCAAATCGCCATTATACATGTGGGGACACAAAAATACTTTAAAATATACAAAGTTTCATTTAATACATAAAATCCATACATGTCACATATCCCCAGATGGCTGGGATCTGAGCGCACATAACTACCAAATAGCGCTCAGATCCTATTCACACAGTTCAATTGCCATGGAGCCAAAGTCTTTAATTATACGAATAGGCTCCATGGCATAGCTATCTGGGTTAAAACATTCACTGAAGTAAAGTGCCGAATAGAAGCAGGGAAGGCTGGAGGCTCAGCGGTGCCTGCATGTAAAAGTGTCCGCTTTTAGTGCACTGATTTCCGGGCTGAGCAACGCTGGCCGTGCGGGGAGCTCCATAACACCGCCACCTAGCGGCCGCTAAGTGTAACCCGCGGTCACCCAGTAACAGACAATTAAGCTGCGGTTAACAGCAGCTATTGGGTGGTCAATTGACGGCACACGCTAGCTTAAGGGAGGTGAATTGAAGGCACACGCCAGCTTCCCGGTGGTCACGACTTCGGTATTTTGTTCGGTAGATAAAATCTACCGAACGCCCTGGCAGAAAGGCATGAATAAGCCTTTCTGCACGGAAAATAAAGTGTTTTAAAAGTCTGGTCCATAGTCTAAAGCAGTGGTAGTCAAACTTTTTTATACCTACCGCCCACTAATGCATCTTTTTGGTTGAAAAAATGTTGTTACCGCCCACCAGTTTTCACGCAAATGCAGAATATTTTTTAGAAAGGAGAGTGTTTTAAAAAAAATAAATGTACGTACATTTATCTTTTTATTTCTCCTTAATGCATGTTTATAATGTTTTTAACTTTATTGTTTTCTCATTAAACTTTATAGAGTAAATTGATATTCAGACTACTTCTCTGTTTGCGCATAATATGATTTCTCATTAGTGATGTCCCGAACGGTTCGCCACGGACGGCTAACATATGACCCTGTACCTCACAGTCAGCAGACACATTCCAGCCAAACAGCAGCAGACCCTCCCTCCCAGACCCTCCCACCACCTGGACAGCATCCATTTTGAGCTGCATTCTTAGTGAGCTGTCCAGGAGGTGGGAGGGTTTGGGTGGGAGGGTTTGGGAGGGAGGGTCTGCTGCTGATTGGCTGGAATGTGTCTGCTGACTGTGAGGTACAGGGTCATATGTTCGCCGTCCGCGGCGAACTGTTCGGCCAACCGTTCGGGACATCACTATTTCTCATCTGTGCGTCAGCTCCCCTCCTCTCCCTCCTCAATTCCCCTCCCCACCTTTTCCCCCCCCTTTTTTAAATTTTTTTTTTTTTAACCTTCCTTATAGCAATGCCCAGTAGGAAGGCTGTGCTAGGTATCCCACGTCCTATTACTTACTATAGCCCACTATAACAGACAGGCACACATACATACATACAGACACACAGACAGGCACACATACAGATATACACACACAAGACACATACATGCATACAGACACACACAGACATGCATACAGACACACATAAGACATACATACAAAGGCACATACACACACAGACATACACACAAAGACACACACATACATACAAAGACACATACATAAGACACACATACAAAGATGCATACACACACAAAATATTTTATTCACCCTCCTGTTTCCTACCTTTAAGGTGCAGGAGGGTGACTTTCCCTGGGGTCCAGTGGTGGCTCAGGTGGATGGGAGTCAGAGTTCCCACTCTCTGGTCTTCCTCCCGCGCGGCTCTCAGTGTTAGCTAGGAGGAGTGACGTGCAGTCACTTCCTCCCAGCTCGGTGATGTAATCACAGTGGGCCCGGTCGCGCTGTTAAAGCGCCCAGCTGTGACCGGGCCCCCTTACAATCCACATCCATCGGGTGGCCCTGACAGCACGGGCCACCCGATGGAACCCTCCATATGCAGGACCGGCGGTTCCGCCCGCCCGGTCTCTCAAGATTAGTGTGTCTGTATGCATGTCTGTGTGCATGTCTGTGTGTGTCTGTATGCATGTCTGTGTCTTGTGTGTGTATGTCTGTATGTATGTGTGTGTCTGTATGTATGTATGTATGTGTGCCTGTCCGTTATAGTGGGCTATAGTAAGTAATAGTAAGTGGGATAGCTAGCACAGCCTTCCTACTGGGCATTGCTATAAGGAAGGTTAAAAAAAAAAAATTTTTTTAAAAAAAGGTGGGGAGGGGAATTGAGGAGGGAGAGGAGGGGAGCTGACGCACAGATGAGAAATCATATTATGCGGAAACAGAGAAGTCGTCTGAATATCACCGAAAGAGGAGACCTTCGTTTGTTCCTTACGAAAATCGAACCAGATATCAAATATTTAGTCTCGCAGCATCAGCCTTAAGGATCTCATTAATCACTAGTAACGGTAATTTCAATTTACTTTATTGTTTTCTCATTAAACTTTATAAAGTTAAAAACATTATAAGCATGCATTAAGTAGAAATAAAAAGATAAATGTACGTACATTTATTTTTTTTAAAACACCCTCCTTTCTAAAAAATATTCAGCACTTGCGCGAAAACTGGTGGGCGGTAAGGAAATTTTTTCAACCAAAAAGATGCATTAGTGGGCGGTAGGTAGAAAAAGGTTGACTACCACTGGTCTAAAGGGAGCAAGCGGGCAACCAGGTTCCTCCAATGCAATGTGGCGAGATTGCTCTCGTCACACCCAGCCTCTCTGTGCTAATTGGACTAATGAGGAAACATTAGCCTGAACAGCAATGGATAGATGTGATTGGATATGAGTGTTAACTGACTGTTTTGAGCCTATCACAGCGCCCACTGCTGGTATAATTAGGCATTGTAACAAGGAAGTGTGTAATCATTGCCTTACCACACTTTCAGGTGGGTGGCCAGGGAGCTTCATTCAGTATTTAACTGTCTGAAGTGGATTAACACTGAAAGGATGGACAGCGCCCGGGGGACTTCAGGCACTATAACCACTTAAATGGGATGAACTGGTTATTGTGCCTGATGGATCCCTTTAATGGGACACAAGAAGAACAAGGCAGTCAAGTGATTATATGAATATAATATGCTGATCTAAACCGCAAAAAACAAAAATTGAAAGATGCCTTGTGCTTGTAACAGTTTATAGCACAGTCAGTGTATTATAGTTACTGCGTATGGATGAATGATTTATAATACAGTTTATAGCACAGTCAGTGTATTATAGTTACTGCGTATGGATGAATGATTTATAATGCAGTTTATAGCACAGTCAGTGTATTATAGTTACTGCGTATGGATGAATGATTTATAATACAGTTTATAGCACAGTCAGTGTATTATAGTTACTGCGTATGGATGAATGATTTATAATACAGTTTATAGCACAGTCAGTGTATTATAGTTACTGCGTATGGATGAATGATTTATAATACAGTTTATAGCACAGTCAGTGTATTATAGTTACTGCGTATGGATGAATGATTTATAATACAGTTTATAGCACAGTCAGTGTATTATAGTTACTGCGTATGGATGAATGATTTATAATACAGTTTATAGCACAGTCAGTGTATTATAGTTACTGCGTATGGATGAATGATTTATTAGACAGTTTATAGCACAGTCAGTGTATTATAGTTACTGCGTATGGATGAATGATTTCTAATACAGTTTATAGCAGTCAGTGTATTATAGTTACTGTGTATGGATGAATGATTTCTAATACAGTTTATAGCAGTCAGTGTATTATAGTTACTGTGTATGGATGAATGATTTATAATACAGTTTATAGCACAGTCAGTGTATTATAGTTACTGCGTATGGATGAATGATTTATAATGCAGTTTATAGCACAGTCAGTGTATTATAGTTACTGCGTATGGATGAATGATTTATAATACAGTTTATAGCAGTCAGTGTATTATAGTTACTGCGTATGGATGAATGATTTATAATACAGTTTATAGCACAGTCAGTGTATTATAGTTACTGCGTATGGATGAATGATTTATAATACAGTTTATAGCAGTCAGTGTATTATAGTTACTGCGTATGGATGAATGATTCATAATACAGTTTATAGCAGTTGTATATATTACTGCGTATATGGAATGATTTTATGCAGTTTATAGCACAGTCAGTGTATTATAGTTACTGCGTATATGGAATGATTTATAATACAGTTTATAGCACAGTCAGTGTATTATTATAGTTACTGCGTATGGATGAATGATTTATAATACAGTTTATAGCAGTCAGTGTATTATAGTTACTGCGTATGGATGAATGATTTATAATACAGTTTATAGCACAGTCAGTGTATTACATACTGCGTATGGATGAATGATTTATAATACGGTTTATAACTTTAGTCAGTGTATTGCATAGTTACTAGCGTATGGATGAAAGAATGATTTATAATACAGTTTTATAGCACAGTCGGTGTATTATAGTTACGGCGTATGGATGAATGATTTATAATACAGTTTATAGCGTCCAGTGTATTATAGTTTTCTTGTTATGGATTAGATGATTTATAATACAGTTTATATACTTCAGTCAGTGTATTATAGTTACTGCGTATGGATGAATGATTCATAATACAGTTTATAGCACAGTCAGTGTATTATAGTTACTGCGTATGGATGAATGATTTATAATACAGTTTATAGCAGTCAGTGTATTATAGTTACTGCGTATGGATAAATGATTTATAATACAGTTTATAGCACAGTCAGTGTATTATAGTTACTGCGTATGGATGAATGATTTATAATACAGTTTATAGCACAGTCAGTGTATTATAGTTACTGCGTATGGATGAATGATTTATTAGACAGTTTATAGCACAGTCAGTGTATTATAGTTACTGCGTATGGATGAATGATTTCTAATACAGTTTATAGCAGTCAGTGTATTATAGTTACTGTGTATGGATGAATGATTTCTAATACAGTTTATAGCAGTCAGTGTATTATAGTTACTGTGTATGGATGAATGATTTATAATACAGTTTATAGCACAGTCAGTGTATTATAGTTACTGCGTATGGATGAATGATTTATAATACAGTTTATAGCACAGTCAGTGTATTATAGTTACTGCGTATGGATGAATGATTTATAATACAGTTTATAGCACAGTCAGTGTATTATAGTTACTGCGTATGGATGAATGATTTATAATACAGTTTATAGCACAGTCAGTGTATTATAGTTACTGCGTATGGATGAATGATTTATAATGCAGTTTATAGCACAGTCAGTGTATTATAGTTACTGCGTATGGATGAATGATTTATAATACAGTTTATAGCACAGTCAGTGTATTATAGTTACTGCGTATGGATGAATGATTTATAATACAGTTTATAGCACAGTCAGTGTATTACATACTGCGTATGGATGAATGATTTATAATACAGTTTATAGCACAGTCAGTGTATTATAGTTACTGCGTATGGATGAATGATTTATAATACAGTTTATAGCACAGTCAGTGTATTATAGTTACTGCGTATGGATGAATGATTTATAATACAGTTTATAGCACAGTCAGTGTATTATAGTTACTGCGTATGGATGAATGATTTATAATACAGTTTATAGCACAGTCAGTGTATTATAGTTACCGCGTATGGATGAATGATTTATAATACAGTTTATAGCACAGTCAGTGTATTATAGTTACTGCGTATGGATGAATGATTTATAATACAGTTTATAGCACAGTCAGTGTATTATAGTTACTGCGTATGGATGAATGATTTATAATACAGTTTATAGCACAGTCAGTGTATTATAGTTACTGCGTATGGATGAATGATTTATAATGCAGTTTATAGCACAGTCAGTGTATTATAGTTACTGCGTATGGATGAATGATTTATAATGCAGTTTATAGCACAGTCAGTGTATTATAGTTACTGCGTATGGATGAATGATTTATAATACAGTTTATAGCACAGTCAGTGTATTATAGTTACTGCGTATGGATGAATGATTTATAATACAGTTTATAGCACAGTCAGTGTATTATAGTTACTGCGTATGGATGAATGATTTATAATGCAGTTTATAGCACAGTCAGTGTATTATAGTTACTGCGTATGGATGAATGATTCATAATGCAGTTTATAGCACAGTCAGTGTATTATAGTTACTGCGTATGGATGAATGATTTATTAGACAGTTTATAGCACAGTCAGTGTATTATAGTTACTGCGTATGGATGAATGATTTATTAGACAGTTTATAGCACAGTCAGTGTATTATAGTTACTGCGTATGGATGAATGATTTATAATGCAGTTTATAGCAGTCAGTGTATTATAGTTACTGCGTATGGATGAATGATTTATAATACAGTTTATAGCAGTCAGTGTATTATAGTTACTGCGTATGGATGAATGATTTATAATACAGTTTATAGCACAGTCAGTGTATTATAGTTACTGCGTATGGATGAATGATTTATAGTGCAGTTTATAGCACAGTCAGTGTATTATAGTTACTGCGTATGGATGAATGATTTATGATACAGTTTATAGCAGTCAGTGTATTATAGTTACTGCGTATGGATGAATGATTTATAATACAGTTTATAGCACAGTCAGTGTATTATAGTTACTGCGTATGGATGAATGATTTATAATGCAGTTTATAGCACAGTCAGTGTATTATAGTTACTGCGTATGGATGAATGATTTATAATACAGTTTATAGCACAGTCAGTGTATTATAGTTACTGCGTATGGATGAATGATTTATAATACAGTTTATACTTTACAGTCAGTGTATTATAGTTACTGTTATGGATGAATGATTTATAATACAGTTTAGCACAGTCAGTGTATTACAGTTTTCATTATGGATGAATGATTTATACAGTTTATAGCACAGTCAGTGTATTATAGTTACTGCGTATGGATGATGATTTATAATACAGTTTATAGCACAGTCAGTGTATATAGTTGCCTGCGTGTGGATGAATGATTTATAGACAGTTTATAGCACAGTCAGTGTATTATAGTTACTGCGTATGGATGAATGATTTATAATGCAGTTTATAGCAGTCAGTGTATTATAGTTACTGCGTATGGATGAATGATTTATAATACAGTTTATAGCAGTCAGTGTATTATAGTTACTGCGTATGGATGAATGATTTATAATGCAGTTTATAGCACAGTCAGTGTATTATAGTTACTGCGTATGGATGAATGATTTATAATACAGTTTATAGCACAGTCAGTGTATTATAGTTACTGCGTATGGATGAATGATTTATAATACAGTTTATAGCACAGTCAGTGTATTATAGTTACTGCGTATGGATGAATGATTTATAATACAGTTTATAGCACAGTCAGTGTATTATAGTTACTGCGTATGGATGAATGATTTATAATACAGTTTATAGCACAGTCAGTGTATTATAGTTACTGCGTATGGATGAATGATTTATAATACAGTTTATAGCACAGTCAGTGTATTATAGTTACTGCGTATGGATGAATGATTTATTAGACAGTTTATAGCACAGTCAGTGTATTATAGTTACTGCGTATGGATGAATGATTTCTAATACAGTTTATAGCAGTCAGTGTATTATAGTTACTGTGTATGGATGAATGATTTCTAATACAGTTTATAGCAGTCAGTGTATTATAGTTACTGTGTATGGATGAATGATTTATAATACAGTTTATAGCACAGTCAGTGTATTATAGTTACTGCGTATGGATGAATGATTTATAGTGCAGTTTATAGCACAGTCAGTGTATTATAGTTACTGCGTATGGATGAATGATTTATAATACAGTTTATAGCAGTCAGTGTATTATAGTTACTGCGTATGGATGAATGATTTATAATACAGTTTATAGCACAGTCAGTGTATTATAGTTACTGCGTATGGATGAATGATTCATAATACAGTTTATAGCAGTCAGTGTATTATAGTTACTGGATGATGATTCATAATACAGTTTATAGCAGTCAGTGTATTATAGATGGATGAATGATTTCTAATACAGTTTATAGTCAGTGTATTATAGTTGTGTATGGATGAATGATTTATAATACAGTTTATAGCACAGTCAGTGTATTATAGTTACTGCGTATGGATGAATGATTTATAATGCAGTTTATAGCACAGTCAGTGTATTATAGTTACTGCGTATGGATGAATGATTTATAATACAGTTTATAGCAGTCAGTGTATTATAGTTACTGCGTATGGATGAATGATTTATAATACAGTTTATAGCAGTCAGTGTATTATAGTTACTGCGTATGGATGAATGATTCATAATACAGTTTATAGCAGTCAGTGTATTATAGTTACTGCGTATGGATGAATGATTTATAATGCAGTTTATAGCACAGTCAGTGTATTATAGTTACTGCGTATGGATGAATGATTTATAATACAGTTTATAGCACAGTCAGTGTATTATAGTTACTGCGTATGAATGAATGATTTATAATACAGTTTATAGCACAGTCAGTGTATTATAGTTACTGCGTATGGATGAATGATTTATGATACAGTTTATAGCAGTCAGTGTATTATAGTTACTGCGTATGGATGAATGATTTATAATACAGTTTATAGCACAGTCAGTGTATTATAGTTACTGCGTATGGATGAATGATTTATAATACAGTTTATAGCAGTCAGTGTATTATAGTTACTGCGTATGGATGAATGATTTATAATACAGTTTATAGCACAGTCAGTGTATTACATACTGCGTATGGATGAATGATTTATAATACAGTTTATAGCACAGTCAGTGTATTATAGTTACTGCGTATGGATGAATGATTTATAATGCAGTTTATAGCAGTCAGTGTATTATAGTTACTGCGTATGGATGAATGATTTATAATACAGTTTATAACACAGTGTATTATAGTTACTGCGTATGGATTAAAGTTTTAGGGATATTTACTCTGCTGCTGCTGCTGGAGCTGTTCTTCCTGCGTTCATTTTTAAGGTTCTCCTCACTCTCCTCTCTCTCAGGTTCTCGCTCCCTTTCCTTGGACTTTTTGTGGCGGTATTTGATTTCAAGGTGTGGATGCTTCTCTAAAGGTGATACACAGAAAGAAAACTCAGACATACCCCTCCAGTACAAGGTAAATCATGCCCCACAAAGCTCTTCTAACAGGCTAGCTCCGAAGCACTGCTCACCTCGACACTGCATGCAGTACCACTCCCGAATGGCTTTGGCCATCTTCTCTGTGATGTTAATGCAGTCTCCATGGAACCACTCGTTACAATGATCACAGCCACTGGGAAAATGGAAGAGGGTAATTTCACTATAAAGAACACTCTGCATACAACATGTTGCCTTAGTCTGATCTGATTTATGTACAACTGTGGGACATGCACATCCTGTATACTTTGTGGGGGGGGGTTTTATTATTTGTAACAGAATACTCCGTTACTTAGAAAGGACTGCAGGTCAGCCTCCTTCACACCGACTATGGGCCTTGGCCTTGAATGTGGTTCTGTTTTGGGGAGGCAGCCACTCGGGGTCAATTGGACCGCTCTTCCCCCATGGTTTGGGTTTGCCATTGTTGCAAGGTTGAGATACACTTGTTTTTAAAGGAGATTTTTATTTTCAGACATGTAGGGACTCTTCATTGTCCATCTGATGGTGAAATTGGAAAATGTATTGTTTGCATAATCACAATATGCAAATTAGGATATTGCAAAATCTGTTTTTAGTTCCATCTATATATATCTGTTTTTCCATAGTTTGTAAAGATGTAATAATATTATATATTTGAGGCATTGTTATCTTGCTTGTTCTTCACATTATGTATGTTTGTTGATATTTATGGTTTTCACCACATGCTTAAAGACAACTCAGCACAAGCTAGCCCTTGTTTAAAAATTACAGTATAGTGTGTTAGTTACTTTTGGAATTGTGTGTCCTGGTTGATTTATTTTGAGATCTCAGTAAAAGAGTTCAGACCGGTTACCTGGCTGCTTTGTCCCTGGATACCAGGCCAATCAAAAGAGGCTGAGAGCCACAAGTGCTTTTATAAAAGCAGTAGCCGGCCACAGTGTGAGCAGAGCTGTGAATATCGGCCTGGGAAAGGAACTGAAAACGCAAAGAGAATGAGATCTACCTGGAAGGAGAGAGCTACAGCCTGGTTGGGTGGAAGAGGTCCTGAGAGACTCCATTCAAGCTTCAGTGACTGGGTGTGAAGTGTCACAGAGTTCCCTGCGGCAGTGAGGAAGCTGACTTGATCAGAGTACGGGAGCTCCGTCACATTATTGTTATTAATTTACAGCTCTTTAAAGGGGTATTTGAAGCACCATATCCACTACATCGCACTGTTGTCAGTAGGCCCCTGGCACTGTCCCACACTAAGGTGTGTTTTTCATAGATTTGACTCTTACCTGGGTGCCCCAGTTTTCCTCTTTTGGCAATATCAAACTTGTCCACCTCTGCACATAATTCATAGGCAGGCAGTCAGCAGACGCTTTCTGCCAATTAAGTCCTAAGTGATATTGTTCAAGTAGAATGGTGATTTCCATTTTAGCAATACCACAGAAGACCAGAAAGATCCCAGGTGCCTGAGGGATCCAGGCAAGACTTATTCTGTTCATTCTTTACTGTGGGTCAGTGACAGAGGATGCTTTGCACCATAACCACTACAGTGCTATGTAGTGGTTACAATGCTCAAAAGTGCTCCTTTAAAGGACCATTTACATGTCAGTACAATCGGAATCACAAGGCATTTCACTAACTAATTTTGAAAGAGTTAATGAATGTTTCTGGAGTGATGTACATCTAGAGTCCAGAATTATTCAGCCTCTGGTGATTAAAGGGACACTTTAGCCACCAGAACAGCTTATTGAATTTGTTCTGGTGAGTAGAATCATTACCTTCAGGCTTTTTGCTGTAAACACTGTCTTTTCAGAGAAAATGCAGTGTTTACATTACAGTCTAGTGATAA